AATGGGCTTAAATTGCAGCACCAGGCCAGTTTAGGTTGGACATTAGGAAAAACTTCCTAATTATCAGGGTGGTTAAACACTGGAATAAATTGCCCAGGGAGGTTGTGGAATCTCCGTCACTGGAGGTGTTTAAGAGCAGGTTGGACAAACCCCTGTCCGGGATGGTCTAGATCCAAGGCCGGCTCCAGGCACCAGCCCAGCAAGCAGGTGCTTGGGGCGGCCAAGGGGAAGGGGGCGGCAATTCGGCGGCGGGTCCCTCTTGGAGGGAAGCACCTGCCGCCGAATTCCCGCCGAAGAAGAAAGCGGCGCGGTGGAGCTGCCGCCGGAGTGCCGCCGATCGCCATTGCGATCGTGGCTTTTTTTTGGTTTGGTTTGTTTTTTTCCGCCGCTTGGGGCGGCAAAAACCCTGGAGCCAGTCCTGTCTAGTTCAGGGGTGGCCAACCCGAGCCTGAGAAGGAGCCAGAATTTACCCATGTACGTTGCCAAAGAGCCACAGTAACACGTCAGCAGCCCCCCATCAGCTCCCCACCACCACCGCTGCCAGTGCCTCCTGCCCACCCGCAGCCCCGTTGATCAGTGCCTCCCCCTTCCTCCCCGCACCTCCTGATCAGCTGTTTTGTGGGGTGCAGGAGGCTCTGGGGGGGGTGACGTTATTGATATAATCTGGGACCATATAGAACATGGTTGCAACCAAAGTCCTGTAGTGGCACCAAATCTTGTACAAACGGGGTCAAATGAGGTGTCTAAGACAAGGTTATGGTTGGCTGGTTATGGTTATGCTGTCTATATATGTGTATCAATTTTGTAGTTGAAGTTATGAATATTGGCTCTGTACTGTCTGTATTTCAAACTTATGCTATGCTGCTGGGAAACATCCCAGACAAGTTGGTGTCAGCTCTGCCTAGCCTGCTTGATGGCCCATTAAGGACCATCAGCTCCACAACTGACCCATTGAGGGAAGGCAAATACGCCTTATAACTCAGCAAAGTATGCAGGGACGTGCCCATGTGACTGCAGACTCCATCTTGCTGTAATTTTCCACAGTAAGAACAAAAAGGTGTTCTTACACCTGGAAAAAACTATAAATGGCTGATGCCTCATCTCCATCTTCTCTTCAATCCTGCTTCTTACCTCTGGAGGGACTTTGCTACAAACGGAAACTCTGAACAAAGGACTGAAGGACCCATCCCAGCTGGGGATGTTCCAGAGACTTGATTTGAACCTGCAGTTTGTTCTATCGCTGCTGCAAGCCTGAACCAAGAACTTGGCCATTTCTGGATGTCATTGATTCCATGTAACCAATTCTAGCTCTCATCTCGATCTTTTTCCTTTTATGAATAAACCTTTAGATTTCAGATTCTAAAGGATTGGCAACAGCATGATTTGTGGGTAAGATCTGATTTGTATATTGACCTGGGTCTGGGGCTTGGTCCTTTGGGATCGGGAGGACCTTTTTTCTTTTACTGGGGTATTGGTTTTCATAACCATGTGTCCCCATAATGAGTGGCACTGGTGGGGATACTGGGAAACTGGAGTGTCTGAGAGAATGGCTTGTGTGACTTGTGGTTAGCCAGTGGGGTGAGACCGAAGTCCTCTCTGGCTGGCTGGTTTCAGAGTAGTAGCCGTGTTAGTTCTCCTCGGTCTGGCTGGCTGGTTTGGTGCCTTAGAGGTGGAAAGACCCCAGCCTTGGGCTGTAACTGCCCTGCTCTGAGCAATTTGTCCTGAATTGACACTCTCCGTTGGGTCCCGCCAGAACCAGCATCGTTACAGGGGGGGAAGAGCGAGGGCACGGCAGGCTCAGGGGAGGGGGCGGGAAGGGGTGCAGTGGGGGCAGGGCCTGCGACAGAGCCAGGGGTTGAGCAGTGAACCCCACACACACACATTGGGAAGTTGGCGCCTGTCGCTCCAGACTCGGAGTCGGTGCCTAGACGAGGAGCCGCATGTTAACCCCTGAAGAGCCGCAGGTGGCTCCGGAACCGCCCGGGTCTAGACAATACTTAGTCCTGCCTGGAGTGCAGGGGACGGGACTAGACGACCTCTGCAGGTCCCGTCCCGTCCTGTGATTCTATGACCCCCCTCCCTGAGCCCCAGGCCCCCGGGGGTGGGGCACTATCTGGGGCTAGGTCTGTGGGGACCCCGGCTCCTGGAGGTGTCACAAGGCCCCAGCTCCTCCCCCACCCCCAGCTCTCTGGGCATGGCCCGGCCATGGGGGGGGGGGGGATCGTGGAGCCCTGAACCCAGGGGCTGTGGGGGGGGGCCGTTTCCATCTCCTGGCTCCCCCCCCCCGTGCCTTTTGCCGTCACATTCCTCACCCCCCTCCCCCGCTGGGTGCGGGGCCTGGGGGGCAGGAGCAGTGAGGAGCCTGGGCATGTTGCAGTGGGGGCTGTGGGGACGGGGTACAGAGTGCAGGGGGGGCAGGAGTCGGGCGTGTTGCAGGGGGGCTGTGGGGACGGGGACGGGATATAGAGTGCGGGGGGTCAGGAGTCGGGCGTGTTGCAGAGGGGCTGTGGAGACGGGGACGGGGTACAGAGTGCGGGGGGGCAGGAGTCGGGCGTGTTGTAGAGGGGCTGTGGGGACGGGGACGGGGTACAGAGTGCGGGGGGGCAGTGAGGAGTTGGGCGTGTTGCAGTGGGGGCAGTGGGGACGGGTACAGAGTGCGGGGGGGTACAGAGAGGACGGGGCAGGGTACAGAGTGCGGGGGGGCACTGAGGAGTCGGGCGTGTTGCAGTGGGGATGGGGGCGGGGTACAGAGAGGACAGGGAGGGGGTACAGAGTGCGGGGGGGCAGAGAGGACAGGGCAGGGTACAGAGAGGACGGGGGGCAGAGAGGATGGGGGGTACAGAGTGCGGGGGGGCAGGAGTCGGGTGTGTTGCAGTGGGGGCTGTGGCTGGGGGCAGGGTACAGAGAGGATGGGGGGGGCAGAGAGGACGAGGGGGCAGGACTCCGTTGCTCTGTCGGTTTCTTTCTTACCCAACATCCCCTCCCCTGGGGCCTGTTGCGCAACTCCCCCCCCCCCCCCCCCCCCCCCCCCCCCCCCCCCCCCCCC